ATCAAGGGATTTGGTTCTGGATTTCCGACAGCTGTTGCAGTTGTCATTTCCGACTTTCGCCTCTGAAAATACGAAAAAAGTGGTTTTTGACGTTCCTAAAGAGGAAAGTAAGCATGGTTTCCACAGTTATTAAAAAAGTAGTTTCCGCATTATCTTTTGAATACTATATTTGAAATTTGAAAGAAAACAATACTTTCGACGTTGTAGGAATTGTTTTTTGCGAAGTGTAACGGTCAGAATTGGATATGTAATCACTACTCCATCCACCGTAATTGCTAACTGAACAACAACTATTTTGACCATCAGTTGACGATGGCATGAAACTTGTCGCAGCCAGATTGTTTGTCCATGAACCGCCTTCAGCCCTTCCATTTCTTAAAAAATTTCATACAACCTTTACATATAATTTAGAAAATCTGTAAATAAGAAAAGTCATTGACTCTTATTCTATTGCTTTAGGTGCAACATATTTTATACAGCATAAAAATGATATTCATTGATTAAAATAATTAATAGGAATTGAAAACATAACCAAACCAAAATAATAGTGGGAAGTATTTTGGTAATTATAAAGAGATGAGCATGTCAGCTATTCAATAAAAACTTCTAAATTTCCACATGTATTATAATGCAATTATTTAAAAAAAAAGGAAAAAAAAATTGCATTATGACAGTACTTTGAAAGATAAAATCTCGCTAAATAGGGAAGATAAATAAAATATTCTTATAACCTGAAAAGCAAAGATAGAATCACATATTTCACTGCTCTTAAACGGAAGAAATAGACAACAACATAACAATGCAATTTAACAAGATGAATCATTGGAGAGAATCGTGATTTACGAACTTTATTCCACTTTGCTAATTCATTTAGGAAATAATCCCCACTTATCTTTCTTTCATTTTCTTCCGTATATCAAAGAAATACAAAAAAAAGGTATGATCATAGACGATTACGATTAGCTTTTGTTACTCTACCTACATTTTCAAATATTTTTGAATGATTAGCTGTAGAAATGATTGTTTAATTGATACAAGAAACATAAACTTATTCTTTTTCAACATAAATTTTAGAAATTTGATTGATATCTTAATAACTTACCTTGCAATGGAAAAAGCGAGAAAAGAAATAATAAATGAACGAAAAACACAAGTTTTTGTAATACAAATCATCACATACCTTACATTCATTCCGGAATCTTCATTAAGCTTCTGTCTAGTGACCGGACTACTACAAGCAGCACTTTTTGCCTGTAAAATAATATCATTGTGAATTTTCTCGTGTTGAAAATTAAACCATTCTTTGATCATTTCATTCAAATGTTCCGTTATTAAACTCTCGATGGTATACTTTATAACAAATTTCAAAAATGTAACTTTCATACAAATCCCTTCTAGTGCTTACTTCCTTCACTGAATTTCTTCAAGAAACAACATAACACAAGTAATATCAGAAAATGAAAAGTAAAATACTTCTGAACTCAAGCTTGTAACGTTGTTTACAGTAATCGATGAATTACTCGAAAGATGTCCAGTGAAATAATGCTGATATAAAGATGGCTGCGTTGAACTTGCAGCTGCCATGCGTCTATAACCTTACCAATAATTCATCAATTATTGTAAGTCACCTCATTAGAAGCTGAAATTTTATAAAAAAACTTTTACTTTTGTATGATGAAAAGCAAGATACGCTTTATAAACGTTTAGGAACGTGAAAAAACTTGAGTGGAATAATTTTACTACTAATAATAATAGAAATAATAATAATAGAATAATAATAGGAATAATAATAGTTTTCCATTACTGGAAAATTTCCAACAATTTTCCAACAGAATATATTATAAATAGTATCCATAAGATCAACTGATAAAGCAAAAATGATGAGCAGTGATCTACTTCCTTACATTTCATTATTTCCAAATGATGCAAATTTTTTTCAAATAATATTTCCGTTTACCTACAACAGTTATGTCGAAAATTTAATATATCATGGGAGTGCAATTATGAAAATGATTAATCAATATTAAATTTGATTCATTCATTGCATGATATACTCAAATATCATTGCTAGAATTTATACTGAGAGGATGGTCAAGAAGTATCCTAAGAATAACTAATTATCAGCTTAGGCAAAAAAGATAAACATTATCAATTGATATTACTCAAGATATATCAGTCTTTTATGAACATCAAATAAGCACTGCAATTTGAATTTGAAATCTGTTAACGTAAATAATCAATGCATTTAAACATAACACACATCAATAAATGAAAAATGAATGAACAGTGAAGTTGCGCCAATAACGTATAAACGCGAAACAATAGTAACTGATAATATCTAACGAGAATTTTATCAATAATTGAACAACACAACAATCGACACAGATATGCATGAAATTGAAACAATCCTAAAAAATGCTTTCACTAACATTATTTAATTTTAGGATTATATCAAAAGACATTCATACATATATACATATTTATAACGCGAAATGGATAAAATTAAACATAAACACTTCAGTTAATTAATAAAATTGATCTATCATTAAAGGGTAGCATAAGTCATATTGGATACTAATCATCTGTTGCAATTAGTTTCCAGAAAAATCCCTCACTTCAACTTTGAAAGAATCATTTGGACAAATTTATTTATTTGCATGATTAAAGTGTGAAAGTGTGATGATTATAGTTTGCTGATAAAATACTAACACTAGAAGTGTCATTATCTGTCAACAAGTGAAAAAACAATGAAGAAAAAAAGCAAGCATTACACTTTAATTTTCGAAAGAATATCATAATTGTAAATAGTGATAATGATATTAATGATGACAAATTATCAAACTGTATGGGAGGAAATATGGGATATGCATAAGATATGTTAAGACGAATGATATCATCGTTTTAGAATAAACATTAATCATATTACAATACTTCAATGTTAATACTCTAGGAATTGTATTTAGTTTAGTAATTATTACTATTATTGATTACTAATAAATACTTGTAATTATACTCAATTAAACACAAAATACAAAGAACCATTTTACCAGTTTGCTTTCCTTACCTTTAAGATTTATGTCAAGTACTAAGCAAGGTATCACCACAATACTGAAAGGAAGTAATCGTCATAGGACCTGTTGCAGGTATAATTCCGATCTGAACAGCTCATCTTCCCCAGTATCCCTCAAACCGGGTGGTAGTGGTAGTGGTAGTAGCAAGGAAGTAGCTCAATGAACCGAAATTGTCAACGAATGCCAAAATGCACCTAAAACCAACCCCTTCCCTCCTTCTGGGATACGATCGATTCCATTACGCCCTTCTCTCAGGAATAGTATAGTGTACATACATACACATACATACATACATAGGACACACACACAAACACACAGACATACACACGTACATATATACACGCAAGAGAAGAGTGAAGTAAGGAAAAGGAAGCAGAATGAACGGGTGAGGATGTATATATGAAGTGGAGATGAGGGATGGTCCCTTTAGCAATCGCATTTTACATGCGGCACTGTTACATTAAAGCTGCACGCTGAATCCCATACAATGCTATTACTTGGATTTACAGCTAATGGAACGTACGTATCGCTCCGTGTCATCCACTACTATGACTTTACTCTTAATGTTCTCTAGTCCTGTTAAATTAACTCATCCATCAGTAGTAGTTTAGATCGCAACCATTTCTCTCATTTTTAACTAAATCATCATTTGCAGACTGATAGAATATATCTTCCGGTATGGATGGATAACCCGATGCTTTTGTCCTGTCAATTGATTCATTTATCAATTGTTTTCTTTAGTTTATACTATACCAATGAGTGCAATCTACCATTTTGCATTTCTTTTTTTTTCACGTTTTCTCATTCATTCGTTATGACTAACCGTGATGCTAAATGTTCAGCATATGTTAATTGATATTAAATTCAAGAAATATAAGAAAATCTTTGTTCGATTCAGATTGTTTCCTCTATTATATCACCATATGTAGCTGTCGTTTCAAAAATCCATTGATCAGAATCACTTTATTACTGATTACTTACTTATCAGTTGCCAACTAACTGCTACCATATTTCGACACGTTCACTTAAGTAATAACCACCACTAACAACACCTATAATTAGCAAAGTGAAGCGTTTTTATGACTGATCTTTCCATGATCATTATTAAATGAAAGAGTCATAGATGTATAAGAGAATATCAACTGCTTTGTTGCAATTATTGCGTGATCACATTTATGCAAATATCTATTTATGTTTTGGTCGCTTAAACAACCAAGCGCATATTTTCGCTCCGTTTGCATGCCAAAAATTGTCAACATTGGAAAATTTAATACTTATTTGTATGATAAAAATTTGCGAGGCACTATTTGTCATTCAATGTGGAAAATGCATAAATTTACTACGTTTAAGAGATACTGATCGAAAGGACAATGGGCTCTTTACATCCTCCACTAATTGACCCATTTTATCAATCACTTTACAATCAAACCATCAACGAAAACGATGAATATACCAACATCTAGTCTTACTAAAATAACTAAGTTACGAGAAAGGGTTCGTAACCCGTACTCGTAAAAAATATGCACCTAATAAAACATTCCAGTAGTAACACAATTTACAATGAAAATGTCATACATAATCAATGATTTATAATAAGTTAAAAATTTACAATGAAGGAATGAAAAAGACTATCGGTGGGGAGAATAACTATTAAAGAACGTTTTTTTTTTTTTGCGTTGTCTAATTCATTATTCAATACGGGACAGTTATATAATTCTCGTGAGAAATCCATGTAAAAAGATTAACAGCAGCTGCCAGATGATATCACATACTACGCTATCAGTACTAGGATTAACATTATATTATTACGGATAGATAAGGTATAATTTGAAATTTCGACGGAAGTTATAATAAATTCACAATAACACAGAATTCCATTTCAAATACAATTTCGTACCTAATGACTTCCTATCGTTATCACTCAAAATACTAACTGGTACCATTTCCACTGCATCCCTCTAGTGCTTTCATACGACACTTCGTCAACAGCGTCCAGATTTCACCCCTTATCCATACAGCTGCTTTTTCATCAAGCTTTGCAATTCCTCGAATATAATCAGCAATTGACAGGCCTACAAAAGACTATCAATCGTTAAATTTGTCCTCGAAAAAATTGAAGAACTAGGATAAATTGAGTGAATTCACCAAAAACATTCATTGACTGTTATTGATAGATTAAATGCAATAGTCTGACGATTCCGGGGGAAGGTTACGATTGCCTCTCTGGCATAATCAGAAAAACTATGGTGATGATTTTTGATTTTATCAAAGGTTTATGTCACTATATGTTTCATGAAATACGAGATCCACTGTATATATATATATATATAAAAACAATTCCTTACAAAATCAACGAAGTCACAAACCAAAATGATCAAATTCATCCATCCTAGAGAAACAACTGTCTTCTCTATCATGTGTTTTTGAGTCAATATCTTTTTGAGTTTTGTAATCTGATGACCTGCCATGTTTTCTTTTACGGCGGATTGGTAGTAAACTTGTAGAAGTACCGGGGACTGAAAATTCAGAGCACGATTCCTTCGACGAAATATTTTCATTCAAATTTTGTAGACCATTTTCTTCGTTCATCATAATGCAGTATCTAAATTTTACTAAAAAATAAATTTGGTCTCTGAATAATGCCAGAAAACTTTGACTCGAAACGACTCTGTCAACCAACAGTAAAGTGTTGCATTTTATTGAGACTTCGTAGATCATTCCCTATAAGTTAGCCATTATTTCCTAATCAAAATGCCTATATATTTTACCGATGCATGATAAACGAATCATTTTTATTTCAAATTGTGAAAGAGTAAAATTTCTCGAAAAAATCAGGAATAAAACTTTATAATCTTACCGAGACTGCGGCAATTGCTTGTAAGGCATCAGAAATTTCAGTTCTTCCGAAAATTTGAATGATGGAAATCGGCAATCATTAGGCTCCATATTTCTGATTTTGTTGATAAATCGTACATACTGATCTCTCAAAGACTTCCACTGCCTCGCTATATCATCCGCTAAATACTATTTTTTTTAGAAATGGCTTTTAAGTTATATATTACTTCATAATCGTCCTGACTTATAGGTTTTCGTTTCGTTTCATAGTTGCTTCCTTATTTAACTATCAAAATTATCTATAAGAATGCAAAAACAAAAGCTTTTAAATCCTGGAATGGGAATACTATTCATCATACCATAAAGCGCTCGTATTTTCACGAATATAAAGTTTGACTTACATCAAATAATTTATTATACGTTTCAAAAGCTTTATATTATTCATATTTATCTATCAATTATTTTGAAGATACCATTCAAAGCATATCCCGTTCGATGATAGAAAGATTCAATGACTTCGTTCCTTTCACTTGCCGCATACTGTAAATCTCTATATTTAGGATGATTATGATCCCATAAACAGGGTCGTTTCTTCATTTCTTGTATTAAAATTTCACGCAGATCATCCGTCCATATTACTGAAAATATTTTTGTCAAATCTAAAAAATTTTGATTTGAGCTAATTTTTGATCATTTTGTTGTTTTTCACCATATCTGAAGATTTTAGCTATGCGATATTTCTGTTTGGTGTATGGCTTTGTACACCCTCAAGTTTTTTATTAGCTCTCATCATTTCAAGTCTTCAATGAAAAACTTACTTCTTGTTTTTGCCGTCCGATCTTCTACAGCTGACGGTGACTTTGCACTTCCACCCACAACCACAACATCTAATAAACTTTATATTTGACTTTTAAAATGAAATTTGACAGTAAAATCTTCATTGTTGAAATGAGTCAATCACGAATACTATTGATAGCATAAAAAGAATAAGTAAAATACTGCATACCTAATTCAGGTTTAACAGATGAATCCGATGTCGTGGTAATTAAATTCGAAGGTGAGTAAATGTGATCACTGAATGACATCGCTGTTACCGTAGCATGTTCGTTATGAGTATTAGCTGTACTATCATCAGTGTTGCCATAACTACGTTGAACCTGAAATTCTAATGAAAAAGAAGGCTATGTATACTACAGTAGACAGCAATTTCCCCTTTACAAACTTGTAAGTTGTAGACAGTACACAAGTGAATAAGTTTATTTCTTTGATCTAAATAATGTCTTTTATCAGGTAGTTTTATTTTATCAGAAAAAAAAAGGAAAAGAAAAACTAAATGAATTAAATGAGTTAACACTACATGCTCATGAAATCATATTTTTGATTTCACAACGGTTAGGTTTAAATATTCAAATTAAGAAAAATTCTTTTTCTCAACTTGGAAAAATTCTAAGCACTAACTGTATTAAAGAGGTTATAACATTTCATACATTATTAAACAAACGCAATAAAAAATATTAGAAAAGTAACCTTTTCTGTAGAAGCAAGCAATTGTTGTGTATTACTTTGGTCAGTAAAATTCACATCACCAGCATCACTATTATGCCAAACATTCGTTGAAACAGTTCCTGATTCTGTTCCACTTCCTGAATTTGTAGGACCACTGACCAGTGTAATGAAAGCGTTTGATGATCCTAACCCATTAGTCCACTGTAACGTTCGACCATTATCGGTCGCTTGTTCATTTCTGCAAAATAAAACAATGAAAAGTGAAATAGGACTCATAAAAATTCCTTGGAATATACTGAAAGCCATATCGTTCTTTTTTAGTTGTATTTTTTCCATTTTGTCTTGCTGTACCGGTTTTTGCCACCCTAAACAGCCGCAACAGCGCAAATAATATCCTCGAGTTCATGCGGACAACCGACAGAAGTGCGGATGTCCCAACAGTTAATGGCGTAAATGAATGCCACACCGATAGAACGAATGAAGTACAGAATATTTCAACAGGGGTACGAATACATATCCGATGTTTACATATGGCGTCAGAAGTTATGTGATTTATGCCATACGTTTGCTTATGGCATAGTGCATACAGAATGAACCGAAATACCGAGATTACGGGCACGACCGCACCATATATAAACCAATACAGCATGCAAACTCTTGCTAATCTTGTCGTTATTATATATTTCAGTAACTTCATTATGAACTTGTCTACAGTATTCTCTTGGTTTATTTCAAGCTTCCGGTACCACATTGCTACTTTCATATCGTAACTTAGGAAATTAAACCGGATTACAACATAAATGTGAATTTCGATTTTTTACAAGTACATTTCTATAATAGCAGTTTTGATAGCAGTAACGATAGGATTAATGTGAAGTGACTGCACTCGAAGATAGTAGTGAGATAGTGATCAGATAAATGAAGTCGTACAGGAGCACATAAAAATTAATTGAACTTACGAGGTATTGCCAAACTGACCGGCCCGTTCATCGGGAGCTTTCCTTGTTGGCATCATCGAAAGCTAACTCACGCAGCAACAGCAATTATTATTAATAGTGACCTATAATAGTAATAATGTCTTCAAACTTTAAATTTCAAAAAGTTGTAAAATTCTGCAGAATTTTTAAGATTCACAATTAAATGAAGTCATATAGCCACAATAACAACAACAATATTAGTAATAATAACGCCCATTACTACTAATACTGCGCAACCGCATACGCGACGCTGTCGCCAGCCGCATCAACAGCATCGCCATGACGCGTGCGCTGCACACTGCAGCTGCATCGCTGCACGCCCAACTACCAACATTCCAATCGCAGCATACTCCGCCCTTCATTTAACGATTACTGGTGGGACTTAGACATGGCATTCAGCGTCCAAAACGCTTTTCCGAAAATAAAATTTGGAAATTTTTTCGGGATTTTGGCGGCTTCTTGAAATGGATACGTTTTCACGTGATTCAGCTGAGTTACGTCTGTACAGAAACACAATTAGCTTAACTAATATATATATATATATAATTCAACAAGAGGTTTTGAAGTGACCTTCCCTCACACATGCATGCACACACAGTTCATTAAAATTCCGTAAAGGTCATAATTAGTTTTTATGATTCAAGAATGGCTGAAATTTATGAAAACTTGCGATATCTCAAATGTATAAAACATAGCAGAAGGACTTATCATCATCGATGCGAGTATAAACTATTAAGAAACATAAGCGAATATTATCACAGTGAGATGTCAGTTGATAGCATTAAACGAGATTTCTTTTCAGTAGCATTTTTCACCTATAATTTGTCATTTTCTAGCATAAAAACAATGGCATCCACTTTACGAACGGTTGCAGAAAAACGTATATTATCGGTACGAGATGTTGAGGATGATAATCGAGATAGTATTGGACGAGAAATATCATCTTTGGAGCTTCTAATAGCTGCCGGTAAAATCGTTAATAAAATTTAAATTTCATCTTAATTGTGTATAATGAGATTCTATCCCAGTATCTCCATTGCTAATTATATTTGCTTTATATCATTGCTTTTTTATTCGTCTAATTTATTTTAGCAGTGACTGATATCGCATCAGAAATAAATAAGAAATATGTGGAATGCATACCTGATTTCGTTACAACTAATAAATTGTTAGATACAATTCGTTCCACCTGTAGTATCGTAAATCATTCTGTCGATTCTATTGCTGATAATGTAGAAAATATGGCGAAGGAAATTGAGTTAAATGTTAGTTGTAAAATTGGCTATTTATTTGAACTGCCTAATATGAACATTCATGAATTTCATGTAATTACCAGTAATAGTTAAGTTATTAATTGAGAAGCATATAATATTTTGAAGCAAACAAATGCATCATAAAATATAGCTTATAAAAATTATGGAGAAACAAAGTGTACAATTTAATGTCAAATTATCTAGCGTCAGTTATCTTTCCAGGGATAGATTAAACATTAATCCTGCTTGATTCTCATTTCATTACCATTAATTTACTCCTGGAAATAGCGGAACTCTTTTACATGTTTTTAAAAGATTTATTCTTTAAGAAAAAAGAATTGGAACGATTAGAATCTATAAAAGATTGGAAACTGAAAATGCATCTGCTAGAGGAAGTTGAATCACTGATATGCCAATTATGGTATTCACCAAATGAAGAAAACTCTTTGGCTAACGCAATTCTATTGGTAGAGTTAGAAGGGAAATTAAAAGATATCTTACAAGTACAATTTTTCACTTATGTTGTAATAGGGAGTTAGTGTTGAATTGAGAAATATAGGTATAGTCATCATACAATTTAATTAGAGTAAAATAAATTTACATTTCAGAGTTTAAACATAATTAAAATATCATTATTAGCAGTATGACAATTCATATACTTCAAAATCTTTGTTAGTTTACCTTGATTTTCATAGATTTGGCTGAAGTTCTGAAGATACTATAGTCATGAACGAACACGAGAATTGTTTTCAATAGATATATTTATCTTCAAACAAAGTTGAATGGAATCAGCATTACTGTAAAGGCATTTTTATATAAAACCGTCGTTGTTAATAATATGTTAGGCTGTAATAATTACAGAAGAATGAAACTGTTGATCAGGGATTCGCAGAACGCATTGGCCCAACATTAAAAACAGAAATTGTAACGCTGCGACAGAGTTTAACCTACATGTTGAACAGTTTCTGGGATCAGATATTTTCTTTGCGAGAGTTTAATAACAAAATTATTTTGCATTTGACGGTATCTAGCTGTGATGCTTTGAACGAAGTTTGTATTTCAAAAGTTTGAAACTCAGTTTTAATTTTTTAGGTCATAACTCGACTATCGAAATAAATGGAAATTTTTTAGATTAATTCTAATTATGGTGTAAAACTGTAAAACCATTTTAAGATTAGTGAACATTTTATGAATTATTTTGTATCATTTATATCCATACTTATATTTAATATGTTGTTGCATAACGTTTATTTTGATGATTATGACAAAACATCGGAATGATAGGATGGACCATATAGATTTTAAATGTACAATTGTTGCATGCGTTAGTAATAGCTAAAAATATGTTTCCCGTATTACTATGCATGCGTTTCAAAAGAAGCTAAAAAACTTAGGACTTATTCTTAGTGTTATTACTTTCTTCAAATAGATCAGAGTAATAATGTCCAAAAATATTTTACAAAATATTCTATTTAAATGAATAAATAAGAGAATATTTCAGAAGTTGTCTGCAATGGATATTTTAAATTTAATTGATGCAAAAATTGACAAACTATCATCTACTCTGATGCACCATTTTTGTAAAAGGTTGATTGCCGCAAAGGATCCTACGGAAATTATTATTTATCGTGATGGCACTTCCTTCTCGGGATATGAATATGTGATACGGAAAGAAAAACCAATAGAAAACGAAAAGAGAAAACGCCCTGATCCAGAAAAAGTTCTCCGGTAAATGAAAAACGTCACTTTAAATTTATTTCCTAGAGATTCATTTTCTTTTTTGTGATATAAATTTGAAATATTTGCCCTTGCATAAAATCAAGTCAGATTTTTATTTTAAATCCCAGCTGTCCGTGTTCGCGAAATTTCAGTAGTGTGCAATATCAAAATATGGAGCTCCAAGGAGATATTTCTTTCCTCTTTATTATCAGTCAATCTGATTTTATGTGAGAATGAAATAAGCAACGGCGAAAGGAAATATTGTTTTCTGATGCATTAAGTTTAAGATGCTCGAATTGCAGTGCAATGCTGGACTTATTCAAAAACTTAGGCAGAAATCTCGGTGCAATGAAAGTTAGTGGAAAAAGTATGGTTCAACTAATTGGTGATAAAATATCGAATGAAGTCGTCGAGTTGCTGGTGCATGAATGCCTTACACCAGCTATTCCCTACGATTCAAAAGATATACCAGCATTTGAGGCCCTTCTGGCATCGACAGATCAATTTGGCGAGGAGATGAAGGTTCATAATTTAGCTCCTTTTCCATTGTATATTATTACTTTAATTCTGACCAGAAGATGATTTATTATTAATTTTAACACTTCTGCTTCAGAAACTAGGATTCTTCACAAACTTGACTGAATCGTTTCCGAAATTTGCTGAAAATTACGAGAGTACGTTTATTAATCGACGCTGCAGCAAGATTATTGACGAAGCACGAACTCTTATTGAAGCGCCATTAACGGAATTTGTTTCAGTATATTTTTGCATTTTGATTAGTAGATCTGATAGTAATAGATCAGAGATGTTTCTATAGAAATTGGTTACTATCATTGCTGACTTTGGTTTACAGGATTAACTAGTGATAACCATTTGTTAATGGATACTGTAAGGAATTCCACCCATGCTTTGCAGCTCTTCCTTCGTGTTATATTTCTGATTTATTAATTCTGGATTTGCACAAAAAGATCAAGAGATCTTCAGTACTGGTGATCCGAACTATCTTATAGGTTGGTAGCAGTTCGGACACGGATGAGGATGAAACTATTGAAGAATATGGTAAAATTGGATTAAACAAACCGAAAGAAACCGATAGAAATAAAGAACATTATCCGGAACTGATGCGGTTGGTGAACTGTCAAGTCAGGTGCGCCATTTTATTTCTCTTCTAGAAACTTTTTTGGATGTTTTTGTTTAAATAGTATTATTGTATTTATTTTCTCATATGCATTACCTTTATCGGATATAGGGTTTATGTATTTGTATGTTTCTGATTCTATTCAGTTGTGCCGGTTCGTTGTTTTACCCGTTTTTATTGATAATTCGT